TCAACGTTTGCCAAGCTGCCTTTCCAAGTGAGCTCGCCAGCTTTAAGTGGCGCGAACAAATTGCATGCTCTCCCGCATCAATCGACGAATCGAGTGCAAGCTTTTTGTTTTTCCTTGCTCGTAGCCGAGAGAACAGCGCTGAAAAATGGTTTCTGGGCTTTTTTTTTTTTTTTTTTTTTTTATCTTGTTCGCTACAAGTATATCAAATGGATGCCAAAAATTGTTCGCTGATTTCTTTGACTTTGCACGACGTCATGAGTTTGGGCATAATTATATAATTACAATGGGGTTTTCTTCACGCAGAGTTTCAGTTTTTTTCAATACCAGTCATTGGAAGGTGAACAAACTTTTTATGCTAATACAATTCTAATTTATATACTCGACATTTTTTTTGTAATCGCTAACAAGTTCTTTAAATACTTGATGAAATTTGTTTTGAAACGTCGAAAAAATGATGTAGAATAGTTTATAATTTTTTTTATTGAATTTTTATGTGTATTGCACCTACAACACGCGGAAGATGAAACTTGCAGATTCAAAAAAGTACAATTCTCTCCACGCATAGAGTTTGTAAACCATTAGGTATACCTTAATTTTTTTTCTCATTTTAAAAATAATTCAAGAGTCTAGGCCATTAAAGTTTGTTTGTAATACGCCAGTTGCACAAGTACGAAACACTTAAGCGGCTTACACTTAGCCTACATATTAACAACTAAGTCCTGGATTAATGCACGGAGGCTTTCAAATGCAAAAGTACAATAAATAAAAAGCAATACTTTCATAATTTTACCATGGATTATTTTCTTATTTTATTTTATTATTTTTTTTTTAACTCTAGATATTTCATAAAAATAGCAATGAAAACTCTTCCCACCGACCTTATAACTTTTGAATAAAGTTCAGATCCAATCACCAATCGTAAATAAAAAATTAGTCCCTGCAGGGGACAAAAGTTTTGCGATCCACGTAAAAGCAAAGTGCGAGAGATTTTTCCGACAAGTCGAAGAAGATTCATTCAACAAGTCAAACTCATCATAAAATTTCCAAACGAGCCAAAGTTTGAATAGTTTTCTTATTTGAGTTTTTCGTCTTCGTAAATTACAGCGATTCCAAGTTGATATTGATTCTGGAGTCGAGCTTGCGATCGGTACGTCACACCTACATACACGTGACCTTTGAAATTAATCAAATTTTCCCAGTCCCAAATTATTTGCCGTCCAACGGAACATTTGAATGACGAAATTCAATAGCTAATCTGATATTGCTTTCAAAGTCCTCACGCGCGCTCTTTCCGATGAATATAAATAAATCACCAAAATACGAGCTCGTGTGTAAGTCCGGGGAAAAAAAAATCGATTGCAGCCTTGCAAATTTCGTAGAAAATTCATTCGGTCCCCTTCCTCGAACTTTGCCGATCCCTGTCATCCACCCGACCCCCTTCCACCCTCCCAAAAAAAAAGGGTGACGCCACAAGTTGGTAGTACAAAAAAAGGCGGAAAACACACACGAGGGAGGTCGTATATGTATCAGACGAGAGTCCAAATTCGAACTCACCGCAGACTCGTCGAAGCACGTGTCGCGCTCAGTCTGACCCTCGTCAGATGTGCGGAGGGATACTCTTTTACAGACGGGAGGAAAACCCTCTCGTATCGATGTCAGTGCTCTCGAACAGAGTGACTGGGGGGCAGGGGCTCGAGTGACGCAATGAGGAACAAAAAAAAAAAAAAAAAAAAAAAGAACAAAAAAGTCCCAAGTACATGGGCTTACAAAGTATCTGTGCAGTATATATATATAACGTATTTGGACGAACGGGACTTTAGTCCGGAAGAACTCTATCGGAGCTGCGGGTACGACGATCGATAGCCGATCAATAACAACCGAGATTGCGTATCCACAGTTTCAGCACTGTAATGTAGATTTTTTCATCGTCTCTTGAATTTGTTTTAGTACCCCCGATGCAAACGAAACGTGCGAAACCATACGCTTTCGGGGGTTACGAAAACGTCTACCTCTTACGTATGGCGAAAGCTGTTTGTAGGAGCTTTCGAGGCTTTCCGTACACTCATGTGTAATGTATATTATATCGTATTGAGTTTGCCTCGACGCGGTTGTGGGCTAATCCTTCAAGCGCGTCCATCACCGTTGATTCACGCGTAGGGCCAACCGAGCCCGCTGATTGATCGAGGACTACACATATAGAGGGTTTGCGTAACATGAACCGATTTTTATCGCGGTACAGCATGTAATTATATCGATGCTAATTTTTTTTTTCTTTTTTTATGGAGCGACGAACACACGTGGGACTTTTTTTTTTTTTTCGTTTATTCAGTAAACAAAGAGCTAGGGCGGGTGGCTCCATTAGCCCGAAATTGACGTATTCGCGACACCCTTCGGGGAATAGGAGACCTCAGTGTCGGTTATCGGGGGTACGTGATGTATTGGGCGTATACACGTAATGGTCATTTGGATCGACCGTATACAATACCGTAGTCGATAAATAATGTAACGTATAATCGAGCCAACGAGTAAATTGCTCCAATTGCAGTGTAGGTGTACATACGAGATTATTGAGGGTTACCGTAAAATTTTAAAACTTGGTTATTGGCAAATTTATCTCTTTGCTAATTTCAACATTGACTCTCGGGTTATCCGATCACTNAAAAAAGAAAGAAAAAAGAAAAAAGCAGAGATATATGCCCCCGTCTTTTAGTGAACTTTCCAGCCGCGGCGACTCGTATAGGAAAGCGCGCATGGACTACACTGCAAGCTCCTCGGCGCAAGCACAACTGCTCTCGACTTGGCCAGCGTATATATTACGACGGCTATATATAATTGCCAAATGTTTGCAGCGTATACATGATGGACATACATCACTGTTTAGCAGAGAGAGAGAGCCCCATATCAGGAGCCTCCCTCTTGAAGTTACGGGTCTCACTGGCGATACACGTACATATATGTACATACACATATATACGTAGAAAATGCATGATTCGTCGGGCGAGCGAGCTTTTCGGAGCTTTGCGCGCATCAACGGTGCTACGGCTCTTCCCTTTCGGCGATTGCACGCGCCCTCGATACATATATGCTCATACTATATTTACAGATTTATCGGAGGAGATTGGCCACATCCACTGCTTATGAGTACATAATATATAATATGGTGCAGTTACTGCAGTAGTAGTAGTAGTAGTAGTGGTGCAATGATAATTATGTGCAACTCCAAGTGACTGGGAGAGCTTTGCGTTGTTGTGTGGTATTTGAAACAACTCATGGCGACGCGGATTGCTTCGACAAGTTATTGCTGCGAGGGTGTGCGCGACACGTGTGCTCTAATTAGATATGTTTGGGAAGCTTGGTCGAACATAGCTATAGGATTTTTTTTTTTTTTTTTTTTCCTAATTTCACTGTATAGTTATGTCGAGCGTCCAATGTTGAAACTGAGAATTATTACCAATAACAAATGCTTTTTTTTTTCTTTCCTTATTTTTCCCAAGCCATGGCCACTTATTTACGAGATTTTATTTTCGATTCGAGTGAAATGTTTCATTTCTTTTTTCTTTTTTTTTTATCTGCTACCCTACGTTTCACCGTTGACATTATGAAACGTCAAACGTGGATGTGCACGCGATGGGGAGGGGAGAAAAAAATGAAGGCAGATTAACGTTGAATCTCCGTATGTCTCTTTGAAATTCTGAAGCAATAGAATACACGTCACTGCGGATGATGCGAATTCATTGTACGAGTAGAGAATTTTTTTTTTTTTTTTCAATATACCTATACTTGCGAGTATTCATTTTACGAAGGATATTTTACGACGCAAAAGGATTACGTCCGATGTTGGGCAAAACTGCGCAATTTTTACCGCGGATGACAACTAATATTTTTTGGAGTACGTATTGATCTGTACTTGGAAAATTAAATCTGTAATTACAATTTTTTTTTTCTTCTTTTACATCTCTCATATTAATTGGCTTAAGCGCAAAATATCAGCATGACGCCTTTATTTTTAATTTTTTAATTAAATCTGTATAAATTTAAAATGAAATTCATCAATTTTCTGCTTTAATCGTTCATTTGATTAATTTAATTTTTTAAATTCTTCTCATTTTTAGGAATATAACATTGTTATAACAGGTACTTTGGCATTAAAAAATTACCGAACTCGAAGTCCAGACAAAACAAAATACACATTATCTGTTCAATAAAAGCAAAGGTTGAACATTTTAATGATCGTATCAAAGAATTTTTCGTACACGTAATTTAATGTTCAAAATACTTTTTACAAATTTACGTGGCAAGCACACAGAGGAGGATGGGGTGAAAATTATTCCACGGCTACTAACACACCATACAACATTCATTTACAGCAAAAAAAAGGTCTAAAAAATTAGTTTTCAAGTAAACAAGGTTGAAGGAAGCTCGGCAACACGAATAATGCGATTTCCCATCTTTACTGTTTACCCTCCTTTGACGCGAATAAACAACGAAACGAGGTCGTTGTGCACAATTTTTGATCCATGTTACCAATCGACCTACAATGAAAATCAAATTTTGTATTCACACTTTGCAATTATAAGTGACTTTAGCATGTTTTTCTTTTACGGAGACCCTAATTGTGTTTTATCATCACAGCTATAATATTTATTTTGAGTTTAAAAGCTCGACCACCCCGCGATGGATGCATTCACAATTATTACCGATTTTCAGAGTATGAACCAGGTGATGGGGCGCCGGTAAATTTCACTTTGATAAAAGCTCACACGAGTTGTTTGGCAAACAAAAACCAATGACGATTGAAAACAGTGGCGCGTTACTGTTAAAACGTTATTCGTGAAATTTCACGGTAATTTTCCCCCGTTGATCGTATAATCATCCCATTGCGCCAACAAAAAGCTCGAGCTTTCAACGCTGAATTCTATGAATGAAAAAAAAAAGAAAAGAAATTAAAAAAAAACCCAGTCGAAAGCTCTCCAAAAAACGCACACACGTAGCAAACTAACCTGTGGTGCCAACGAGTACAGATGGACAGACGACGGATGGATGGTCGAACGGACGGGGTTTGATCCGTCGAGTCCGGAAACCGTGAAGCGACTGAAGCCGAGCCAATGGAAGCGAAGACGGCGAAGCGAGGGTCGGCCGCCGCCGCCACCACCGCCATCGTCGGGCGGCCTTTGGCAAAACCATGTATATATATATATATATATATATATGTTCGTGTACTCCTACTTAAAACTTGAAACAGAGAGACGTTGGTACAACACGCAGCTAACACTCACTTGCTCTCTTCTTCTTCTTCTTCTTCTTCTACGCCTTCGCCCACACCGCCTGCAAAGCTACTCGTGTGTTATACGTTTACATATATATATATATATATATATCGGGACTTTAGTCCGGAAGAACTCTATCGGAGCTGCGGGTACGACGATCGATAGCCGATCAATAACAACCGAGATTGCGTATCCACAGTTTCAGCACTGTAATGTAGATTTTTTCATCGTCTCTTGAATTTGTTTTAGTACCCCCGATGCAAACGAAACGTGCGAAACCATACGCTTTCGGGGGTTACGAAAACGTCTACCTCTTACGTATGGCGAAAGCTGTTTGTAGGAGCTTTCGAGGCTTTCCGTACACTCATGTGTAATGTATATTATATCGTATTGAGTTTGCCTCGACGCGGTTGTGGGCTAATCCTTCAAGCGCGTCCATCACCGTTGATTCACGCGTAGGGCCAACCGAGCCCGCTGATTGATCGAGGACTACACATATAGAGGGTTTGCGTAACATGAACCGATTTTTATCGCGGTACAGCATGTAATTATATCGATGCTAATTTTTTTTTTCTTTTTTTATGGAGCGACGAACACACGTGGGACTTTTTTTTTTTTTTCGTTTATTCAGTAAACAAAGAGCTAGGGCGGGTGGCTCCATTAGCCCGAAATTGACGTATTCGCGACACCCTTCGGGGAATAGGAGACCTCAGTGTCGGTTATCGGGGGTACGTGATGTATTGGGCGTATACACGTAATGGTCATTTGGATCGACCGTATACAATACCGTAGTCGATAAATAATGTAACGTATAATCGAGCCAACGAGTAAATTGCTCCAATTGCAGTGTAGGTGTACATACGAGATTATTGAGGGTTACCGTAAAATTTTAAAACTTGGTTATTGGCAAATTTATCTCTTTGCTAATTTCAACATTGACTCTCGGGTTATCCGATCACTTGGTAAACACTGGATTCAAAATTCTAGTACGTACTAGTAAACAACTTGAACGGACACGGAATACAGACCACTCGAGGATTTCGGTGATTTTGCAGGTGCTACAGTGCGATACGATACAGCCTAAAGGCCGAGGTTACTGCGGGGGGTGAGTTAACCCGCGGCAGCAAAGGACGCGTAAGTGCATATTATATTACGTAAGTAAACACGTGTGTGTATGTGCATGAAATATATGTCAGGGCGCGGCCTACTTTCTCGCGGTGTCTGTGTGACGCTCACGCTCTCTCTCTCTCTCTCTCTTCCATTCACTTTGTCGTTTTATACTATATTACATACCTATACGTAAAATCGTTCTGAGCTTGCAACTCTTGCGGGTTTCACTCGTACGCCGCACCACCTGTGTAATTTTGGAAATTGCATCAAAGACTTCTATATGTATACACATCCAAGTGGAACATGTGGTGATACGTATATATATGTATAACCATTAAAGTGACAACGTAACGTATAGCTTTATTAAAAATATCAAGTGGAATTTGCACATAATTAATTTTAAAATTTTACAACCATAATTAAAAAAAAGATCTAATCTCCATAAACACCCGCTCAACACGTTGCGATTCAGCTAAAATTACTAGATGTAAATACGCGAGACAGCAGACGTAGGTGTAAAGACGTATTCTCGCGTAGTTTTTAGGCTCTGTATATAAGGTATGGAATCACGCCGACGATCCACATTTAATCACATTTATCCTCTTTTTCTTTTGACACCGCCACACATATCGCGCTGTACTAATCGGTTCTGATCAGTCGGCGCGTGCTGGACGAAAATAAAAAAAAAGAAACACGTGCGCAACGACTCGTCATTTGCGTCAACCGGTGGGGAAAGGGGGAAGAAAGAAGAAGAAAAAAAAAGTTTACCAGGAAAATACATCGGTAAAAAGCTTAGCGAAGAACGAGGTACAGGCACGTTCGTTTTTCATCCGGCAAAAATGACCAACGTTTACCCGCGCACTGAAGAAGAAAAAAAAAAAAAAATTCTCTCACGCACATCCCAGCGTTTAAAGGTTTAATGGAAAGTTTTTTACTGCTCCTTTGTTCCGACGTGTTTCTCGGTTCGCAGGTATACGAGTGGCAGTACTGGGATTTTGGTTTTCTGGGTCATCGGAGGACTTATTTCACAACCTCGGTCTTTCTCCCAGCGAAATACTCGATTTTTTTTTTTTTTTTCCATTACGACGTTGAAACCAGCGCCCGAGTTTGTTTTCAGAGTTCCGCGAGCGATTCGACAGCTCCTCGCGAGATCTCGAAGAAATAAACTCCTCGACTTTAAACGAGTAGAATCAGGCTTTTTTTTTTTTTTTTTTTTTATTTAACNTTTTTTTTTTTTTTTTTTTTTTTTTTTTTTACTTACGTACAATGACGAGATGGAGAAAAAAAAAAGTCACGAGTAGACCAAACAAAATGCATCTTTTTGACGATGGACAGTGTACATGTATACACGCTAGAATCGTTTCTTTGTGTATACACGGACAACACAAGAGCCAGTACTTTCTCCTCTCCCCCGAAAAAAGTAATTTCATTTTTTCTCCCGTGTGTTCTCTCTCTCTCTCTCTCGAGTCGTATACATGTATATATACTTTAATCTCCCGCACAGCTCATTTTCCTCCTCTAACGGATGTACACCCGTGCCCATGTGTGCCCTAAAAAATTTTACGCTGTACACAAGTATCTCTATAGTATTACTCGGCCCTTTGCGATCTATGTTAGAAAAAAAGGTGCATTGTTTTACGTAAGAGTGAAACGTAGGTATATCCTATTTGCATAGCCGGGGCGCGCGACGTCACTTCATTCATGCGACGTAAGTGTAGGTATACACGGCTTGTTTTTTCCATCGATGTATATACATACAAGCCCCTGGGTTGTTCTCGTTACATAAAACACTTGTGTCAATGTAGAGATAAATATAGCGTGTGTACATCAATGGAATTTATGCGCAAAAAAGGGGACCACGTTTTAGCGGCCTTTTACTTGAATAGGATACACCGTGCAGTATATTTGGCAGCTCAGCTTTCCGCGGAAGAAGCTTTGCAACCGAGTTATACTTTTTTCCAACTCTTTTGCCATACCTATACGCCGACTTTTCCTCGAAAAACCGATCTTCCGGCTGGATGTTTACGCGCGCTGTACGAAACGGCGTAAGGCTTCCGTATTGTTTTAACTGATTTGTTTTCTTGAAGAGCCATTTCAACGAGGTGGCTCGCTGTTTCGTCTTTGTAGCCTTGGATTTCTTTTTTTTCCTTTTTTTTTCTTCAATTCCGTCTGGATGTACCAACAATCAAATTGAGACACGAGTAATCGCGTGCGATATACTAACGGAAGAGCGTATAGCACTGGGTGTACGGTATTTCGCATTATCGTGTCACACAGCATATTACTCTAGTACATTATCAAGTAATCATTCGACATGAAATTTCACGTTCGGTTTTACAGTAAGGAAATAAGAGACACTGAAAAAAATCAATCCGTAGCGATCATACAAATTATTCAAATGCAATAAAAACCTCATTCTCCTTGGAAAAAAACATATTGTTTGTATGATTCAGTCAATTGATCGCACTATATCGATCGATTAGGTATGAAACATCGAGCTCGAGAAAGCTCTCGCCTTTTGAATCCCGAATCGACTTGATTTCACTCGACACCGGTATCATCAATAGCTTGAGCTTACATTGCGTGCATTATCCACAGGTTAATTCACGAGCCGGCACCACTCGTAAATGCTCACACAGACACGCGCTGACTGTTACCCCTTTTTGTATATCCATGCGTGCGTATAACGAGGGGGTACGGTAGGAAGGAAGCCAATCGCGGCGGAGCAGCTTACCCGATTACGACACGGCCGAGCGAGCATCGCGCACACACCGGCAAGTGCATACCTCGTGCAAAATTTACACTCGCTCCAACCGGTCCACTCGCCTTTCCAAACTTTTATTGCCCCTCCCCCCCCCCCCCACTTGGGTGTCAAGGAGGATCCGGGTTGTTCGTTGTCGCAACTGTTAATTGTAAATCAATGGCTTACCAACGACTCACTTGGCCAGTTGTATAATGCACACAACTAATAAACATTTCTCGTACATCGTTATGAGGATATTGAAAAAAAAAAAAAAAAAAAAAAGTAGAGTATCCTTAACAACTAAGTACTTATCTCGACTTCTTTCTCGTGCGAAATTTCGTCCGGAAAATTCGGAGGCGGAGACGCTGGAGGGACTCAATGGAGAAAGAGAAACTACGGGGGTGGCGAAATCGATCGCTGCGCTCTATTATATACATCACATGGTTGGCGACATTGCAGGTATTACCTACATGTATGTACTCTTTGAGAAATTTCTCGTCCCTTACCCAGAGAGCTTGCGGCCGCTCTCTGTAATTCTCATTGTTGAATCTATATAGGTTGACCCGACAATACGCCCCGTTTGGTCTCGCTGCTTTCTTACTTTGCCCCATCTCGGTACTTGATCGTTTGTTAATGGCAGAATTCACACAATACCTCGTACCCCGAGCTAAAGTGGTTCAAGAATGCTTGGTTAAAAAAAAATAAAAAAAAATAAAAATAAAACATATATATATATATACATTTGACAAGTCAGTTTCAAAGTTTTATCGGTCTACATTGTAACGCTTCATATTTTTAAAGCTTGGTTTTCCCGACTCCTACCAGCTTAGCTTTGACACATTGATTCTGCATGTAAGAGGTACCAGCATAAGGGAGGCCACTGCAGTCATTGCAACAAAAAAGAGAAGCGGATGGTAAAAAAAAAAATTGAAAATTTTGCCGATGTTTATGG